GATCCACTAAGTGGAAACCCTAGTGTGACATCTAAAAAGATATCTGGAGATCCACAGGGTCAATTAGTATACAACAAACGTGGCTCGCTCTAGGCGCGTACCACATTTGTTGGGGGGCATTTGTTGACCTGTAATTGGAAATAAAAAAATCAAATAAAAAAAATCGTACCCGCTCTCTGCACTCGCACGACGTCGCCGCCCTTCGCACGACGAGGCCATACATCGCGTCGTTTCATCGCACGACCTCACTGGGCGTTAAAAAAGAAACGAAAAGGAGAGGATTTCGGCTCTGACATCTCTCTCGCTGCTCTCTCTCGCACTCGATCTCTCTCGCTCACCCTGCTCTCTCCTGGACAGAACGGAAGTTACGATAGTTTGATCGGAAGCAAGAAGGGAGCTTACTCGTTGAGAAGGTAGCCACCTATCTTCCTTTCGAGCGCTTCTTCTACTCCTTCGCAGCTGTGCGACTTCGCTTGATCGACGACGTTCCCTCCTGTATGAATCGGAAGCTACGCCATTTTGATCGTGAGCAGCGACGGGAAGCTCGCTTGCAGTGAAGTAATTTTCTCCCTTTGGAAGGCTTCTCCGGTTCCTTTGTTGGTGTCCGACTCCGCTCCTCCGACGTTCCCTGCTGTCGGACCGGAAGTTACAACAATTTGATCGGAAGCAGAGAACGGAGCTCGCTGGCTGTGAGAAGGATCGGAGGCTCCTCTGTGCTGTTCGGCTTGGCTCATTCGACGGCATCCCCTTCCCGCCGGATCGGAAGTCAGACATTTTTGATCGGAATCAGAACAGGAGCTCGGCGGCTGTGAAGATAACTGTCTACCTTTCGCGCGCTTCTTCGGTTCTCCCGTGGCCGGTCGACTTTGCTCCTTAGACAACTTTCCCTTCCTGAACGGATCGGAAGTTGCGGCATTTGATCGGAAGCCAGTACAGAAGCTCGCGGCTGTGCAGGCAAGTTCTCCCTACCCGCACGCTTCTTCGGCCGATCCAGAGAGGGAGAGAGGGTGAGAAATTTTTATATATAATATTATTTATTTATTATTTATTATAATTTTTATTAATTATGTTTAATAATTATTTAATTATAATAATAATTAATCATCTAATTATAATTAAATTATAATTATTAATTAATGATTAATTATAATTAATCAATGATTAATTATAATTATAATTAATTTATTAATTATAACTATCTAGTGATTAGTGGTTAATTATTAATTATAATTACTTAATTATTATTATAATTAATATTAAATTAAAATTAAAAAAATGCAAGAATATCCCTCTCTTACCTCGGTGTGCGTGTCGAGCCAACAAACCGCCCATACACACTTTTCTCTAGCATGGTGGGAAGGGAACACGACACCTACGACGAGGTAGGTGAGCGACCCTTGAACCCAAAATCCTGTCATCGGTGTGTGTGAGGAACCGGTCAACCACCTATACACCTTTTTCTTAGCATGATAGTAGGGAACCTGGTGCAACACATGCGACGAGGCAGGTAGGCCCGATGCACGCTTTTCTTAGCGTGGCTAGGACAACTCTTAAGTACCCATATGCGGCTCTATACCTGCGGGGAAACAACTGTTCTTCTCCTTCACATGTACATTTGAATACTCATATATGATTTTCTTAACTTGGTGGGGACAAAGATTTTACGGCCGCGGTGTCCTTGTCCGAGGACACATACCGTACACACTTTTCTCTAGCGTGGCGGGAGGCCCAGTTTTCCTTAGTTTTCACCTATATGGGGGAGATGCTGAGAGGTTACCAAAATTTTGGGTGAACATACGACCGCACTCGGGCTTGATTGAACTCAAAAGATAAAAGAGCTTGAACTTGATTGGACCAAAATGACTTAAATGAACTCAAGCAAAGACTTGAGTTGGACCACAGGGGACTCAAACAAACGGAAGAGGCTCATTTTGAGCATGAACTTTATTTGAACATGTTTTTTGGACTTGAACTTGTACTTTGAGCTCAAACATGATTTAAACTCAAATGACCACATAGGACATTGAACTTGAATTGTACGACATCAAGTGAAACTTGGATTTGTGAACTAAATATGACAACAGGAGACTTGAATGAATGTAGAAGACTCATATTGAGTTTGAACTCAAGCATGAATTGAACTTGGACTCAAACATATATAAAAAAAAAAGTACTTGAGTCTTATACAAGTGAACTCCTATATTCGTATCACCAACAATGATCCGACTCCAGGAAGAAACATCAAAGAAAAAGATAAATGCAATATACATCGTGATATGTTCATAAGCATGATGTGGAAAAGGCACAACAAATATAGCACCTGCATTCGATCCAATTTGTTGTCCACAAGTAAAATGCAAAGTTACTACGTTGAGTGTGAATGCCCACTAGTAACATTAAAAGATCAACATTTAACGCAACATCCGTACAAACATACAGTGTCATGCCACAAATGATACGACGTGTTCGTGAGCAAGGTATGAAGGACATTCAGCAGATGAAGAAGCTGTCTTATAACACTTCTAAAATCAACATCAAAACACAAGCAATCATATTCAATCCTGCAAGCAATGAAAAAGGAGGGGATGTATAATTTGACCCCGAATAAATATACAAGCAATAATTCCTACGAGCATTAGAGGACATGCAAGTAGATGTGGCAGTTCACCAATCAACAATACATAAGGAAGTCAAGAACATATACAAGCACCTACAAGCTGTGTAGTAGAAGATAATAGATTCTACATCATCCTTGTAGTCAACGCCTATATAATGTCAATCAAATATGTTGATCATTTGCAAGTAAAGACGAATGATATGCACCAAATGCATTCTTCTACAATAAAAAACGTGAGATTCATTAGTGCGCTACAATCTACTCACATAAAGCAATAAATAGTACACGATTGTCTACTTCTATAAAGCAACGAACAACTCAGTCTAGAAGCTGTTACAACACGCCACCGGATCTGCAACACTCATGCAAGCAGAAAGAATGTGTCTATAAGTTACAACGCCACGCTATCGGATCTGCATCATGTATGCAAGCAGACAGAAGGCTTGTACAAGCTTCCATGTAGAGCGTTGCATTCAAATGATAGCGACCCGCTCAACTGATCAAAGCTAAATATTTCAAAATGCCCCTACACATGCACCGTAATTTGTATACACATAGATACACTAAAGGGGTAAATACAATTGCGACCCGCATAGGCCCCGACGAGCATGTTTTGGGTATGCATGTGACGTCTAGGGATGTTGCGCAGGCTAAATAATGAATCTGTTCGAACCCGATCCTTTTTGACACGAATCGAGGCATTAAATAAATATGCGGTCACGAGGTCGACCGGGATATTTATTTTATACATTCATATTAGGCCTTCAAGATCCTTCATAAGAAAGCTTCATTGATAAAATCATTCAACCGCATTGGCCCCAGCAAGGGTGTTATAAGTACACACATTATCAGGGACCACGATGACCCAGGACGACGAAACCATGGGATCTTGATCGGGTCCATCATCCATTCCCCCATCATCCGCTTTAAGTGCAAGATGATGAAATTTCTAATTATAAATATCAATCCTCCAAATAGAAACTCATGTTGCTATTATATGACAGATGACGCGTATTTCTACGTATCTGATTAATGACTTGCCTTAATTGAAAGTTCTCTCTCGTTATCGAGAGGGGTAATTAACTATAGGGGCATGTGCCTATAGAAAACCAGAACTCAGATCATAAAGTCCTCGCAAAATGAGGGCGAAATCTCTGGGTGTGTCTTATCTACAAACCCAATCCACCTTCCCAAAATTTACCCCAGAGCATAATTCCGTTAAAACTCCCTCGAAAAACAATAAGGGGAGGTCGGGGCCCAATTTTCGGAAGCCCACATCTAGAGATAATGATTAGAGACTATAATGAACATTTTATTAGTAGGTAATTATTAATTATTATTATTTTTTGTAATTTTAAGTAGTTAATATTTAATTTCATTGTCTTACCCAAAAGTTATTTTTGTCTCAAAGATATGATATAGAGGCTATCTATTTTCTTGGTGGTGGTGTTAGCATTGTAAAAAAAGGCATTAATTGGAATCCAGATTATTGCAAGTAATACACTTCACCAACGTTCCTTCGCCCTTCTTCAACAATTAGATTACGAAGTGTTCACATTTTTATATCAATATGGTATTGGTGAATATTTATATTTTTTCCTTGTTAAATAATTTTGAGAAATTATTATTTGGAATAATATCTATGAGGGTAGCATTTCTTGTTGCTCTAGGGTTTTCATCTTGCAATGTTGAAAATTTAAAGCATTATGAAACCTAACATAAGCTTTGTCTACGGCGGCTTTCTTAATGCTTTTAAAAACGGCTTTTAAGTACAAAAAATTCAGTTCAATTAATTTTTATACTAAAAAACCGTCTTAAAATTTTCATTTGAGACGACCTTTTTTACGACTTTTAAAAGCAGTTTTTTAGTACAAAAAATATTTTTTTACTAAAAAATTATTTTAAAAAGCAATGAGTAAACCGTCCCAAACAAAACCTTAATATATCTATTCCACATTTATCAAAATGGAAGTAGTAATTTATTGTAGTTGAATATTTCACTTAAAATATCAGTCGTTGTGATAAAGAGTGAATCATAAAGCAACATCTTTAATCTTCTTAGCTAAAATTTGGGAAAATTGATCTATTCAAGCTTTTTTTGAGATAATTTTTTTTGCTGCTTTTTAAAACGACTTTTTAATACAAAAATTTTTAATTCACTAAATTTTTGTACTAAAAAGATGTTTTAAAAAACAATAAAAAAATTATCTCAAATGAAACCTAATATATCATTGCTCAAACAAAATATGGATTGGTTGAACTTAGGTTGAGATTAACCCTAATTTGATGTTTAATTTCAAATTTGTTTGTGACTAAGATTTCATTTGGAATAATTTTTTTACTGTTTTCTAAAACAACTTTGTAGTATAAAATTTTTTTGAATTAAAAATTTAGGATACCACAAAACAACTTTAAAAAACAACAAAAAAGTTGTCCCAAACAGAGCTTAAAGCTTCATTTGGAAAAACTTTCTTACTATATTCTAAAACAATTTTTAGAACAAAAATTTTTTTAACTAAAAAGTTTTTAAACTAAAAATTTTTGTACTAGAAAACTGTTTTAAAAAGTTGTTCCAAATAATTCCTAAGGCTTCATTTGAGATAACTTTATTACTACTTGTTATAAAATTAAATTTTTTGTATTAAAAAGTTATTTTAGAAAATAATAAAAAAGCTTTCTTAAATAAAACCTTAGGCTATGTTTATGTGCATATGCAATAGTAAGAAATAATATTGCTACATGAAATTTAGACACTTATTTGAGAATGTTACGAATTAGGCTACATACTGATTAGAATAAATATCAGATATTTGCTAGACGTTCTAATAGAGTTTAGGGTTTATCTTAATAGGCAGACTTAGTATTGGAATGAACAAAAATATTAAAAATTATTCAAGAAAACAAACATTCTATTTAAAAAGTGAACAAAAATATTTTAGAGATCTAGATAAGATTTTGTTTGGGATAGTTTTTTTTATTGCTTTTTAAAATAGCTTTTAATACAAAAATTATTTGAACTAGAACTTTTTATACAAAAAAACAGCTTTAGAAAGCAATAAAATAGCTATCACAAACAAAATCTTAGAATTGAGGTGTTTTATTTGCTCAATCATGTGGTATTGTTTATATAATCTTGAAATTAAAATTTTGAAACTGTCTAGTATGATAAAAGCTAAAAGAGAATTTTAGGATAAGGTAAGAATATGAACTTAACTGAGGATATTATAGACTAATTTTTAGAAATATAGATGAATATTATAACTACAATTCATAATCATGACAAAAATTTCTGAGAACTTTTTTTTTCTTTTTGCAGCTTGTCCAGCTGCTTTTCTGACAATGTTATCTATGATCCAAATCTCTTGATAAATTTAAACTAACTTGGAAAAAAAATTGAAGGGTGGTAAAGGAATATTTGTATGCTCAAGGTTTGCTTAAATATGAAAAAATAACAAAAAATATAGCTCATCCAATATCAATTCTGATTAAACACCTGGCTCAATACCTGTAAGTTGTTGATTTATATGAATTGAATGTAAGCTTGATTGCTATCTTCTTTTTCTTTGCACTGCAGATGTGACAATCAAACAAGCTGACTAAGATGTTTCAAGAGTTCGACAGAAACTTCAATGTGAAATTGAAGCTCATGCAACAACCATCTTAAGATGATTAAGTTGTTAGAATTGATGAATTATTGTAAAGTGTGTCAGAACTTTTCATTTGAAACTTTCCCATGAGTTAATGTTTAATTAATTTTCTTTTCCTTTTTGGTTAGTTGGAGTGAAAGGATGTTCTTTTTTTATCAGATAATGATTTGAAACACAAGTAGTTTCTTTGGTTTTGCAGAATTAAATAATGGAAGCACTTGTATAACCTATTAAGCCTCGTTTTGAAGCTGCTTGACATCAATCATAAATCTTTTCAAACGAGCAACAATCAAAACTCTAACAAGATAATGATGCATCTCAATCAACATGCAAGAAAGCCGTTTCAAACGAAGCCTTACATATTAATATTTTGATAGTTAGAATGCATGCTGGAATAAATAGGATAATGCTAAATATACAATAGTTTCAAGTTTCTGATTGCTATTTAAATTTGGATATGACTGTTGGTTCACTATCAGTTTAATAATTTTTTGTTTAAATGGCATCATTTAATAATTTTTTTATTAACTCCATTAGTAAGTCATACTTTTAATTGTTATGATGATGCAGTAAAACATTAAGATGCTAGATCATGCAAGACATCTTAAGGTCTATTATTTTTCAAAGCAAAATATTGATTAAATTTATAAAAAAAAGCACCAAAGATTAAAATTTATGGCTCAAATGTAATCAGGCAAAAATTTCATCACTCAAGATTCAAAATCAGCAATAAAAACTGTCACCAAATGATTAATTTAAACAAGCCAAACCTGAACTTCGCAAGAAATCTTATATAATGAATAAAAACCACAAAACTGTTCAAAACTTGCACTGCAGAAAAAAACAAAATCAGAAACAAAGATGACAAAATCTCAATCACGCCTTCAAAATCATATTACAAAATACCATAGATGAGAAAGAGCAATGTTAGAAATCATCAAAGATCTAAATCTTCTATATCGGTATAAAATGAATAAATAAATAAACTTTTCCAAAAATTTGTCCTCAACACTTGGAAGGTACTAAAATAATTTATATCCAATAACAAACACAGATTTTGAGAGGAATATGAAATTTCATAAAGCCAATACTTATTTTAAGCACATCAAAAATCCTATAAATAAAACAAAAATATTCCATAATAGTTAGTTTTCTCAGAATCCCCTAACATACACTTTCCTAGAAACCTCCAAACTAACTTTAGCATTCCCTGATCAAAACAACAAATTTAACATCTCCAAAATCACATTTTCCAAGAATATCAATAATATATACTTCTGCTACAGTGCCATAAATGGAATCCAATACGCAACTTTGGCCTGTTGGTTTGGAGCTTTAGCTACCAACAAGAGATATTAGGTTCGAGTCTCGCATATGTGATGTGTGTATGAATTTATCTTAATTGGCCTAAATGTCCAAAAAAAAAGGAAATGGAATCATGTAAGTGTCAATTACCTGCTACGGAGAAAAATTAAGAATAGAAGGAAACTGAACACCCAAGGTATGACAAAACACATCAAACATAAGTGAAGCAATGGACCTCTGAAGGACAGGCACAAAAAAGCATGTGAACCATATTAATTTGAAGTCTTGAAAATTACTAATCACATGAAAGAAAAATACACTGAAAATTTTGATTAGTCCTCCCTTTTCATATTTAGAGCCAACAAGAGAGGATAAAGATCCATCAGAGATTGTCAATTGAAAAGAATGAAACGTATAAATCATACAAAAATAAAACTAACATGAAGTAGCTGAGTAGGGTAGCTTACTTTTCAATCGATATACTTGTGCTCCTCTTATGTCTTGGAAGCTTTGCATGAAGCCTCTCAATCTTTTCACTTTTGCTCCTTTGATGGCCATTAACTGAGTCCTCCTTTGCACTGCACATCAGTAACTTGAGCTTGAAGCCAAACTTCTTAGGATCAACAGTCCACCCACTTCTCCCCTGTCCCAGTCTCTCGATCTCTTGCCTAATCGTCGAGCACTCTTTCTCAAGTTCAGAGACACGCATCCTCATGTGATTCATCCCAACCTTCAATATCTGGTTATCCTTCATAGAAATGGCCCAACCACCACCCTCAGTTGGGCCCACATGACCACTTCTCAGTGCTCGAGAACCACCATCAAGGTTATCTGAGACAAGGAAGCATCCGGCAATGGAGGTTCTAAGTTGAAGCTGCTCAAAGAAAAGAACTTGGACGATGACTCTTAGAGGAAGCCTCTCATTTTGTGCTGCATGAGTGCAGGCTTCAAGAGAGAGCTTTTGGCAGTCCATCAACCGGCAAAGTTGCTCTCTCTCTGATTCTGATATCCATGGGTGTGCCTGAATGTCAATGTATAAAATTAATTCCAATAAAATTCATCGTATATCACTTTTGGTTTCTTCAAACAACAAAAGCAATATTGTTTTCGAACTCTACAAACACCTTCAAAATCTCTCAAACATGACGATATCAATTTCACACACAAAATCATTATTTTAATCTATAAGCAACAAAATGAGTATTAGGGATATGATAAATTGTTCATAACCTTCAAGTATATATCGATAGCACGATAAAGCCCATCATCCAAGGGACGGGCATACTCAGGAACAGCAGCTGCAAGTGACTGAAACTTTGGTAACTTCAAGTTAACATCAGATGCAACCTCGGCCAAAAAACCATCAATAAGTTTAGCCACAGTGGTTATTGGCGTCAATGACAGAGAACCGATCAATTGTTCATCATCTACAAGATCTGGAGAGGCACCACCAATCTCCTGATCCATGGCTAGGAAGTGCTCGAGAATTCTCTGTATGCAATCAACATCATAAAGTGTTTCCATGGAGTATGAAAATGTAGGCATCAGCAAATCTTCCAAAGCAGCATCACTCAGTTGCATTCCTATCCTACTTTCCAGGTTAGACACACACGTAGAACTTGCTTTCAATATCAAAGCAAAGCGGAGAAGATTACACAGAAATTTTGTCGATGTTACGCCCTTTTGAAAGGGCAATAATCTGTCAATTTCTTCAAGAAGATTTCTTTGTTTCTCCTCGGACGGTGCAGTATCCAAGGTTGCATTTGATGTGTTCTGTCTCTTGTTTAATCCATGAATATACCTCTTCGCATAGCAGGTTAGAGAACCAGCAATAACTTCTTGTTTGATACCTCGGGATTCCATTGCTGCTATCACCCTCTTATATGTAGGAAAACTCAAAGATGAGACATCTTCATACCACCAATCAGAGCTACAAATTCTTGTTCTAGCTCCAGTACTTATTCCATTCCAGAGGACACTGCCACCAGGACTTTGCATCGATCCATGCTCCATCATAGGCCAACCAAACAAATTCGGATCTTTGCAAGCCTTAACAGCTAATGATTCAATGCATTGTTTCACAATGTTAAGATCTTCAGCGTAAGGAAGAAGATCTTCACATGTTTGGAGGGCTTTCAAGGAATCTTTCCAGCTAAGGAGTACAACTTGGTTTATGAATGTTTCAGTCTGTGAAATTAAGTTCCCCTCGGCTACTTCTTCAGTCATTTGTAGAAACTCAGCGGCACAGCGAAGGGATACCACATTCGAAGCAGTCAGTTCTAGCTTCACGCCATAGCAAAACTTGGCGACTAGTTCAAAGGATTTTGAATCACCAGGAATGTCAGGAAGCTTAATAAAACAGCCCTCCTCTTCTTCCTTGCATTGCTCAGCAATCAGCTTTTCAAGAAGTATACTCTTGGATAAAAGAGGGAACTGAATCAAGTAAATAAGAATGTTTAGTCCAGCAACTGACTGGAAAATGCCTTCTAAATTATAGGTATACAAAAAAAAAAAAAGAATCATGTAAAATGATCATAATGAGTAATCACAATTTAATCACATGTACACCATATGAAATGAAAGTTTGCATTCTGCTTAAACTCCTTTCAAATAAGACATTGCTAGTAAAAAAAAAAAAACAAGTTCCTCTCAGAATTTTTTGGATGGTGAATTCGATGGCTTCTATGAGTAACAGGCATGGCAAAGCAACAAAAACAACAACAAGTCTTTGTCCCACTACATGGGGTCGGCTACATGAATCCTTTTTCTCCATTATATTATGTTAAAAGTCAAATTCTCAATTAAATCTAATAAAGAAAGATTATGTCTAATATTTTCTAACCAAGTCTTTTTAGGTCTACCTCTACCTATCTTAACATAAGTCAAATCTAATACCTCTACTTTCCTAACCGGGTCATCGGAAGGCCACCAATTTATATGACCAAACCATCTAAGACGACTCTCTTTAATTCATCTTCCACTGGAGCTACTCTAACCTTTTCACTCATGGCAAAGCAATAAAGCTTAAATGTTAAGCAAATAAGTTCATGAGCTAACTTCTTTTTATATCATGAAGCAAGTCAAGTGAAAATACTGTAAGACAGCTTAAAGAGTTAAAGGTATATGACATAACATTAGCACAGCAATAACTGACATGTTAGTTATTTTTTCATTGTACAAGGAAAATTTTCTGCTGGAGCCACTACAATACCTCTATTAGAGTTTATTTGGGGCGGCTTTTCACAATTTTCTAGTTACAACTTTTTATTTGTCTTTAAGAAATTTTGGTAGTCAGGAATATTTTATAATAAAATTTATTAGAATATGATAGCTAAAAGAAAATTTCTATAACTAATTTTATTAAAATCTATAGCCATCTCAAATGGACGCTTATCCTGGGTTTATTACCAAAAAGTACTAATCACAGTAAGGTAATTTCACTCTCGATTAAGGGATTCACATTTAAAGAATTTCCAAGTCTCCAACCTTGTGAAGATGGAAGGACATTTCCCCAGCTTCAACTGTAACATCGCTGGGAAGGCCGGTAGGGCAGAACCTGCAGTGAAGTGAAATAGGATCCTCAACATAAAGAGACTTACATAAAATGAGAAAAGTTACAAAGAAGCCATATATTGCATAAATATTTTGAAGTTTAATATTGATAACGTACATGCAGCAAAAGCAAAATGACAGTGTAAACACTTAAAAGTAGAATCTTGGACAATTATGGTACACTATGGTACTTAACCTCAATTCCGATTTCAGAAGCAAACCAACTTTCTTAAAAGGCCATATGCTCGAGTGGCAAGTGATAAATTGCATGAAATAGAATTGAAATTCAAATATGTCAAGAGAAAAATAACATTAAATATAAAAATTACATAAAAGTAACATATAAGATCAAGTTCAACTCCATATTCTTTCTTACTCAATTTCCTACTCGTCCACATTTAATTCCCAAAGAAAGCTGAAATAATTGGCAACAATTTAGAAATCATTTACACTATAATCATTGAGGGGGTCTTTTTTTGAGTCATTGTCATAACAAATTAGTCACTCTCATGTCTCATCCTGTGGAATCAAATGTCGCTCTATCTGATTCTTCTTCATTTATTTTAATCATCTTCCTCTTTCATAATTAGTTGTCATCAACATAAAGATAAAGAGTAATATTCCAAAAGTTTTAGAGGAGAAGGTGATGGTGTGCTACTTGCAAGTGATAGTGGCGGGGCCAATAATGGTGGTGGCTGTGGCAAAGGCGATGAGCTAGAGCTCGAGGTTGTCGAGAGGAAGTTGTGGCTAGAGGGTACATGAATGAGTGATTTGTTCAAAGCTTTAGTTTAGGATTTATGTATGTTTATATATATGTTTATATATATATATATAAAAGAATTATTTTTAATTTTAAAATATAAAAAATATAATGTATATATAATGTCATGTCGTGTCCCTTATTTGTATGATATCATCTTCATGACCTCATGATCATGTCTATGCATCCTAGAAAATGACTCAAATTGACTAAAGCATGGTGTTGAAATTTAATTACAGCAAAGACTAATATTTTTAAAGAAAATATGTCGCATGCAAATCATCTTAAAATTAGCTCAGAATGATTAAAACCAAGTGTTGATAAATAATTACAACAAATGGAAATATTTTTGTGCGTCTAAATCAACATATGAGACAACAAAAATAGACCAAAACAAAAAAGAAATAATTCTTGAAATTAAATTACAGCATATAAAATTATTTTGAGTATTTAAATGGCAAGCAAATTCATCTAAAATGACTCAAATATGATTGCTAGAATATTATTGCAGCACAAAATTATTTCGAGTGCTAAGGAAACGTGCAAGGAACAAATCAACTTCAAACTAATTACATGTATTTTGGCATTTATTTAAGGTGCAAAATAATCTTTGTTAGTCTCTAAATTGATATGCTAGGCAACTTATGTTTGATCCAAAGTGACATTAAATCGAACATAGGAATTAACGACAAGAAGATGATGTAGGCAATGCTAGATTTTTTTTCCTTGCTTGTTGGCTATATGGGTATTTAATCTTGGGTTGTTATTTCCTTGATGGGCTTGGCCCATATTTCTCGATATGTCTTGGCTATTTGGTGTTCTATGCTTGATATGGATTGCTTGGTGGCTGGTTGGAATTCCTGCTGAGTTTCTATGCAGGTTTCGGTTTTTCCACTGCTTGGAAACTCTGTTTTGTTGATTTCCAACTGCTGGTTGTTCCCCTCTTCTATGCTATTTCCTAAGTCTCTTGAAAAATCTGCTTGACTTAGCTGTTTCTGGATATTGGTTCCCTATGCTGGCCATTCCCCTCAATGTTATTTCCTAATTTTTGTGTTGGCTCCTATTATTTGCTTGGGGGGCACATTTATGTGGGTTGTTAGGTGTTTTTCCTCTTATAAAAGGGGGTGTTTTGGCTGCTTGAGAAGGAGGATTTTTGGAGATGAATATTTGGAATCTATAGCATGAGGGTTTCTTATAGCTCGCGAGCTATGGTCTTCTACCTCCCTTACTCCTAATTCGTCTGTCTTTTATCTTTTTCTTCTATCTAAGATTTCCATTTCACATGTATCTTTCTTTTTAAATTTTTATAAGTTGTAAGTTTATTGTAGTGTTTCGTTTAATGTATGTTTGAAGTAGTTGAATTTTAAGGCTTTGTTTGTCTATGTTTTAAAGAAAGGAAGTCTTTTTTTTTTTTTTTTTTTGCAACTTCTAGTGTTGTGCTTTTTTTAAGTTGCATTAGAAGATAACATAAGTTTTTTTCTAAAAGATTTTCATACAAGGCAGGAATTACTTGCATATCATTATGACAAAAAATATGAGATGACTTTTAAGCATGAAATGCAATGTTTTAAGAGTAAGGTGTAGGGTTGCAACATATTGAGCATTTGACAAGTTACACATGGCTAGACTTGATTATAGCTTATTCATGATTGTTTGATTAAGTAATCAAATAAGTTTGAATATTTTTTTAAATACCTGATAATTAAAATAAACAAGTTTGAATATTTATATGTTCAACTCGTTTATGTTCATGAACAGCATTGTTTAAAGCTCGTGAACAAATTTGACAAGAAGCTCGTAAAAAGCTTGATTCATGTTTGATGTAGAGATAGAGAACAAGCTTGTTTACAAGTAATGTTTATAACTAAATACATTTCTTAATATCAGCTTAAATCTTTATTTAGTATATATCATATAATTTTTAATTTTATAATAATATATTAACTATCATCATCAATGATTATTTATTGCATGATCATTACCAACAATATCATAATCATATCTCATATAACAAATTAAACATCTAAATAACCTTGAATAAGTTAGCTTAACTAATTAATTATACTTTAAGGTTAATTTCTTTTAAATATATATATATATGTATGAATGCATGCATGCATGTATGGATACATGCTCATATATCTTTTAAATTTATTTGTGAGATTATTAAATTATTTAGAAATGTTCTTTTTAATATAATTTTGGATGACAAATCTTAGTTTAATTGGATCTTCAGTCTTGGTTATCTTTATCTTCATCATATGAGAAACCTATGGACCTGTTGAAGACAGTAAAAGTATTCAGAAGATGATAAAGAGAGTTTTTGCTAGCCGGCCTAAAGACCAGGAGATTAGCATCATAAATTAGATGGGAGACATCAGCACTGTTCTTGGTTATGGGGGAGAATGACCTATTATAACACAGAGTCCATAAGTCTAGAAAATACATCCATGATAAAAGTGAAGAGGAAGGAGGGTAAGAAGCATCCCTGTCTTAAACCTTGATTGGAGTTGAAGTAGCCCATCTTCCCACTGATAATAACAGAGTAAAGGAACACAAGAAGTGCAATATTTAATCCAGTTAATGAAAGTGGGAGGAAAATTCAACGAAGTCATTCTGTTGTAAAGAAAATGTTTGTCCACATTATCCAAAGTTTTTTTTTTTTCAGATCAATTTTAATATTGAAGTTTTGATTGGACGCAAAGTTGAAAGCTCTCAAAATTTCATTAGACAGAATAATATTGTTAGCAATATATATTCCATCAATGAAGAAAACTTAAGCTAGATGAATCAAATTTGGATGCAAGTCCTTCAATCTGTTTGCAAGCAGTTTGACAACCACTTTATGTGTGATGTTGCATAAAGAGATAGATCTGAAATCCGACATGGAGGAGGCATGCAAGAAATTTAGGATTAAGGTAATAGCAGAGTGCATTAATGAAGTCTAATTGCATAGAGGAAGTGAGATAAGCAGTGTCTAATTGCATGAATGAAGTGAACACCAATAATTCTTGAAGAATCGAGCACTAAAACCATTAGACCGCGAAGCTTTGTCATTGCCAATCTCAAACAGAGCAGATTGAATTTACTCGGGCTGAAAATCCATAACTAGATTGCATCCATCCTTATCCAAAAGATTAAGACCAAGAGGAATATTGTCACCATGAATGTCATAAGAAATGTCATTATTGAAGAGAGTGCAGAAATAGTTAATGGCCGTAGCAGCAATACCTTGAGTATTAATGGAACCACCTTGACCATTAATTTCCCTAATAATGTTCCAATTAAGTCTCCTTTTAAATTTTTGATAAAGTAACTTCACCTTTAGAAAGTCAATAACATTTAACTCTTTGTACGATCCAGCCATCCTCACAGATAGTGGCTTGAATCAATTCTCTCTAATTGTAGAGGGCTAAAGCAAAGTAGGTTACTATCCAAAGGGTTAGATTGAAGATTGTTAAAAATGGCATTTGTTTATCCTTCAAATAGATACTGTTGTTGTGGAGAGCAGAGAAGGAATACAAAGTTACATTTTTAAGATCCATTTTAACAATTTTCAGTTTGTTACAAAAAGAGAGCATAGGATTCCCTTTGACAGCAACATTCCAGGCAGAAAGAAGGATGGTGCTTTATTATATATGAATATCTTGTAAGTAGTAATAGATTAGTCCATTTGAAGCAAGACGGGGGGAATGGTCAGAAGAGAGGAGACACATAATCTTGATGTGAGATAGTGCAAAGGAGGTCAACCAAGTATTGTTACAGAAAGCCCGATCCAGAAGATATCTGATAGGGTTAAGATTTTGTTGGTTGAAGCAACTGTAAGTAACACCATTGTGAGGCAGGCCTATCAAACAGATCCTCCCAAAGAGATTTTCTTTTAGTACATTGGTAGTGTATAGATAAAAGTGATGCATAATTTAATGATGGGGGTGATGGTGAGAAGGCTATGGATGTATTGTGAGTGAGCTTTAATGAAGATAAGTTGACAGTGTTGGCATTCCACTTAACCCAAATGCAACCATTAGGAGCTAAGAGAAATTTATTATAGCTACCTTCATTCAAGAACATCTTGTATTGTCTTTGATTTAAAATACCCTCAATGGAAGACCCACTAAGCTTGTTCTCAATCAGCCAAAGCACCTCAATGCTGTGATCCCAAATCAAACTCCTACAATCATTCACACGGCCATCACTGTTTAAACCTCTTAACATTCCAACAGAGGAATTTAGGAAGAGACATG